TGATTCATTATATGTATATATTGCAAACTGATCACTACAATACATCTAGTTAATATCCATCACCACACAGTTACAATTACTTTTCATTCATTCATTCATTCTTTCTTTTTTGTTTGGTTTTTGGTTTTGGGGTTTTGGTTGCTCCTTTGTCTCGTTCTCGGTTTGTTTGGCTCACTTGAGGTATAACCGACATGTAACATTACATTAGTTTCAGGTGTATAACATAATGATTCGATATTTGTATATATTATAAAATATAATCACCATAAGAAGTCCAGCTAACACCTATTACCACACAAAGTCACAAAATATTTTTGCATGATGAGAAATTGTAAGATGTATCCTCCCGACAAGTTGCAAACACGTCGGACGCTGTGACCCAGGCCCTGCTGCATACCTGGGCGCCCACGACCACCTTGACCCTCTCACCTGCCCTCATCCCTCTGCTTTTGGCAATCGCCACTCTGTTGGCTGTGTCTACGAGTTTTGTGTTTTTTGAATTTCTTTTAATGTGTGTTTTAAAAGTCTGAAGACTGTTTACCTACCGTAACGTTCTAACTCACAGCAGAGCTGCCCTGTGTGCACGGTGACCACTCGCTGACTCGCCAGTCCCAGCGGGGGCAGCTCCGTTGTCTGCTGAGCTGGTTCCGGGTGAGGGCAGGGACTGGGGTGAGAAGAGACACAGAGTCCAAGGTGGCACCAAACAGCTCAACAACCAAGTAATGTTTTATTATCATGTTTTTAAAAAATCAGAATGAATAAAATTGCGCAATGAACAAAATATCAGCATTTTCAATAAAAATGGAATTTGACCCTTTTCTCTCACAGACTCGCCTCACTCTGCTCACCTTCATTCCAGCCCTGGTGACGCCAACACACAGGACAGTCTCTTAGGACGAAGGTCACTGTCCCACACAAGCACACACACCTGTGAACCACACACACCTGTGAACACTGATAACCGTTATTTAGTATCTTTTCATAGGCATCCCCAAGTTTCCTCATTAGCTCCCAAACCTCTTTTATAGCTGTTTCTTTCCAACTGGGACCCAATCGAGATGAGTTCATGCATTGTATTTGGCTGTTTTGTCTCTCTAGTCTCTGATATTCTAGGGCTGGCCTGAGCAAGCCACGGCCTGTGAGCCTGCATCTGTCTGGGAAATAAAGTTTTATCAAAACATGGCCACACGCATCATTTACATGTTGCCTGTGGCACCTTACATGCTACAATGACAGAGAACGTATGACCCAAAGCCAAAAATATTTGCCATCTGCCCCATTACAGAAAAGTGTGCCAGGCCTGGTCTGAAGGCTCAGTTAGATTCAGGGTAAACATTTTAAAAATAGACTATCTTTTATAGTACTTTTAGGATCACAGCAAAATTAATTGGAAGGTATAGAGATTTCCCATATGTCCCTGCCCCCATACATGCATAATTTCCTCCACCAGAGTGGTGCCTTTGTGACAATTGATGAACCTACACTGACACATCGACACATCATTGTCACAGGGTATACATTTTTTAAAGAGATTTTAGAACTGGCCTGCAACCCAGGCATGTGCCCTGACTGGGGATCGAACCAACCACCCTTTGTTTCGTGAGCCTGCGCTCAATCCACTGAGCTACACCAGCCTGCTCGGGGTATACTTTTTCAACAAGGCTACTTCATAGGAGTATTATTAGTTACCTATTGCTGTATAACAAATTACCACGAGCTTGGTATCTGAATATAACAGCCATTTATTATCTCATAGTTTCGAGGGATAGGAATCTGGGTGCCTGTGGCTGGGCTCTCTGTGCAGAGTGTCACAAGGTGCCAGCCAGGCTGGGAGCTCAGTGAGGGGCCCAGAGCCCTTTTCCACACTCATTCAGGTTATTGGCAGAATTGAGCTCCTCACAGGGCCTAGAGGCTGCCCCTTCCCCCAGGCAGTTCACTACAAGGCTGGCTCCTCCTTCAAGGCCAGCAAGATCCCATCTGTTTTTTGCTTCAAGACTCTGACCTCTAGACTGTCTCTTAAAGGGTGCTCCTGATGAGGTCAGGACCACCCAGAAGAGTCTCGCTTCTGAAGAACTCACCATCAACTCATTTGGTACCTTAAAGACACCTCCAAAATCTTCTTAGCTTTGTCATGTGACATCACCTAATCTCAGGAGTGACATGCACTGCACTCCCAGGTTGCACCCACGCTCCTCGGTGGGGGATCAGACAGGGTACACGCACCAGAGCTGAGAATCTCTGGGTCCATCTTGAAATTCTGCCACGACACTTGATTCTGGACTTTAGAAATTTTGGTCATTCAGTTTGCCATCTGGGGAGACAGATTGAAACAGGATCTTTTGATCTTGTCTTCTTAACTCCACCAAAAGACTATCCAACAAAAGAATCCTGCTTAAGAATCTCCCCTTAATGTTAAATTTAAAAAACAGTAAGGAAATTTGTGTTCCAAAGCCGGTCCATCTAAACTGTCAAGTCTAAGGTTTTCAATTTCATATATGTAGATAAAAACAGTAAAGGAAAAATTACCTTGGAAACTTTTTATGCCTTAAGAAAATGAGAATGACAAGATGTATGTGTACCACTGTCCACATTCTGACACAGGCACATAGACATATGAGTTCTGGAATAGCATGGGAGACAGGAAATATTATGTGACCATCATGAGAAAATACCTCCTGCCACCCAGGAACTTAACCCAGCCCAGCAGGGGTTGAGGAAGGCTTCTTGGAGGAGGTTGCATTCTAGCTGAGTTCTGAAGGATGCATTCGCACATACACACACGTGAATTGGTCTGTGGTTGCCTGTTCTCCAAATGAGTGAGGGCTTCCTCTGATCATATGAAATCTATGAAAAGAATGGAAAACCAAAAGTGATCCTTAAAATTTGAATAGAATCACACTCCTTGGAGGCAATGGGTATTGTATGAGGACTCTGTCGGCGTGTCAGAAGCATACATATGCTGTTAGTTCTCCGGAACAGCGACTAATAAGTTGTCAGGCACGGGTGTGAAAAGGACATCTGGTGGCCTCAATCTGCCTTAGCTGCGTGTTCCTACAGGAGTGCGCTAAAGTTGTGCAGAGTTCTTTTCTGGGCTGGGGGCCATGTTTCCAGCACCCTCCCCGCGACTTCTACCCAGCACCATATTCGCTCTGTTTTATCTTCTAAGTATCACTCCTGTTCCCCCACCCCCACAACCTCCATGGCCCCCATCCTGGGCTAAGCCACCATCATCCTTTGCCTAAAGGATGAAACAGCCTCCCTGCACTCACCTCTGCATCCCCTCCAATCGCTTCCCTGCAGAGCAGCCAGAGAGGTGTGCTTCCAAATTCAAAGCTGCTCAAGCACCTCCTTGCATAAAATCCATGTGCAATTTCCACCAGCATGAAATGCCAAGACCAAAATTCCTAACTCATCCCACCAGCTGCCATATGAGGGAGCTCGGCTGCTTAAAGAGGCCACCTGTAAGTACTCCTGACAGCAGCCGCAACATCAGTATCACCCTACAGCCAGCAGCAACTGACAGGTGGGTAAACCTTTAGAGGATTACAGCTTCAGCCTTTCAGCTACCCACCTGACACCAAGGGGCCACGGAAGAGCTATTTCTGCCAAGCCTGCCCAAACAGCATATTGGAAAACAAAGTAAATTTTGTTGTCAATCAAAGTCTCTAACTCTTGGGGTGGTTTGTTAAACAGGCACAGTAACTGGAACATAGTAACTGTTACATTTGTACCTTTTTTTGAAACTTGACATTTGTTTGGGTGTGTAATTATTTGATTCCTAGTCTTCTCGAAAAGCTAAAAGCTCTAGAAGGGCAAAAGCCTTGTCAGTTTTGTTCACTATTCCATTCCTGACACCTAGCACAGTGGCTGGTAAATGTATTCTCAGCTTCCCAACACCTGTTCATGTAGAATAAGAGATGTCATTTGGTGATTGATTATATGCTCATTCATTTCATAAATGCTCACTGATGTGGCTCTGTGTCAGGAAATTGTGATGAAGCAGGGCAGAGGAGGGGTCAGTTTGGTTGTGTTTTGAAGGACACATAGGTGTTTTCTGGGTAATGAAGAGATGGAACAGAGCTTCTGGCAAAGGAAATGGAAGGTGCCAGTGCATGTGGCCAGGAAGCAGCCAGGCTAGTCAGGAATTGGCAGGAGGTTCTACACAGATAGAGAGTGGGTAGAAAATTCTGCAAGAAAACGTTCGTAAGGGCCAGGTTCTGATGACCGTCAATGCTGCGTGTAGATGCTCAGATTTTTAACTCACAAAAAGAAAGAAAGAAAGAAAACAAAACAAAACAAAACAAAAAAACAACGGAAGACTTTGGAGGTTTGGAAGCAGCTGTGGAATGATCCCAGTTCTTGATAGCACCAGGATGGGGAAAACTGGTTACATGGCTACTGAACTGGCCCAGTGGGGAAGTGATGAGGTCAGGACTAGGGAAGTGAAGATGGGAGGAGAGGGACAAAAAGGCACCACATAGGGCCCAGTGTTAGGCTGCTGTGCTACATTGTCACATCAGCCCTAGAAAGCAGGGTTCCACCAACATTTTTTTAGTAAATATAATAGCCTCTGTAGACCTTAGGATCTGTCTCACCAACTCACCCTGCTGTTGTGGCACAAAAGCAGCCAGAGATAATGGGTAAAGGGTGGGCATGCACGTATTCCAGTAAAACTTTATTTTACAGAAATAAAAATTTGAATTTCATAATTTTCACGTGTCACGAAAGTCTTCCCTTTTGGACATTTTCCAACTTTTACAAAGTGTAAAAACCTTCTGAACTTGCGTGTGAAACCGGGCAAAAGCAGGCGGCAGGCCTTGGTTTACCTACCAGTGCTATAAACACTATTACTTAGTACTGTGTATCAGTTTTAGGGGTAAGCGTTAAGACAGCAAAGCCTGCAAGGAACCCCGCCCCTCTGACATCATCAGGCCGCGCCCCCAGGGCGGAGCCGGCGCATGCGCGTCCTGCCCGCGGGCGGGGGCGGGGCGGACTGGGGTTCCGACTTCCAACATGGCGCACGCTGGCGGCGGAGGCGGCCCCGCGGGCCGGGGGCTGAGCGGCGCCCGTTGGGGTCGCTCGGGTTCCGCGGGCCACGAGAAGCTGCCAGTGCATGTGAGTGGCGCCCCAGCCCTCCCTTGGAGACCCCGTCATCTGGCCCCCACATACCTGCGCCCCCAGCCCGTGCCCCGCCCGGCCCCACCTCTTGGCTCTCCGTGGGGCTCGGAACCCGAGACCACCGACCTCTCACCTCAGGCCCCTCGGATGCCGGCCCGGTCCCGTCCTCGCCAGAGACCCCCAACCCCAGTTCCCTCCGCTGACCGGGCTCATCGGGATCTTACCCCTCCCCCTCCCTGTAGGTGGAGGACGCCCTCACCTACCTGGACCAGGTGAAAATCCGCTTTGGCAGCGACCCTGCCACTTACAACGGCTTCCTGGAGATTATGAAGGAATTCAAAAGCCAGAGGTACCCGTGGGGGGGCCCTCTTCACCCCGGGGGACTGCCATCGGGCTGAGCGACGTGGGAGCCCCCAGCTGGGTGACCTTGCACAGGTCGTCGAACCTCTGGGATCCTCGGTGCCTTCCTCTAAAAAACGGGAGTGTAGAGCCCCCTCTTTGTGGAGCTTATGGGAATTCCTGGAAGGAGGGCAGGTGTAGGGGTGAGGCGAGTGAGGCAAGTCAGAACAGCAAAGTCTTTCTTCAAAATTTTGATTTTTAAATGAAAATTTTTTTATCCAAGACTCTTTAAAATTAATTTTTAAAGCACTGCATTAAAATGTTATTACTCTTGATTGTTGAATGTCTTGGCGACCTCTCTCCCTTAACTCTTGTCCCCAAGGTGAGTTCCTCACTCACCTTGCCCTAATTCCAGGCCTCCTAGGAAGTTATGCCCACAAAATCCTTGGTAAGGAATCTGCTATTTTAGAAGGCATTTAAAACATATTGGTTGTTTTTTCAGGTATAGAATCGAGGGTTAGACATCCATAGAGGACTCATTCCCTTGTGTGAGAGGAGGCTCACTGAGGCCTATTGGACAGAGTCAGGACTAGAACTTGGGTCCTCTGCCACTTAGATCCTTGACTGTTACATCCCCACCCTGCTGCTTCTCCTTCTGAGGAAGTACGACAGGACTGACCTGGTTTCTTTCCACAAGCACTACGCTGAGGCCTTGGCCTTGACTGCACCCATGGTGGAGACCCCATCCCTCCCCTGGAATTCTTAAGCAGTTCTCTGCTTATAGGGCCTTTAGTATTTATGCATTGTAATCAGTTGCTGGGATCAACTCCTATGTCATTGTTGATCCCTAATTCATATCAAATAAAGGAATTTATCTCACCTTATCATTTAGAGGACTTTGACCTCCTGCCACGTCTTGGGGTCCAAGACTTGCAGTTGCTCTCCTGATAGCCTTAGCACTGAGTACATGTGTTTGGAGTGTTTGGGGGAGTTGTGCCATGTGACCATTCTGTGGTGCTCACCAGGAGCACGGTGAGCTCAGCCTGGCTGCTCTGGAAGTAGATCACTGTTAGTGGAATCACCCCAGTCACATTTTCAGGTGCTTTGTTGTCAGTGAAAAGCCGGTTACGTGGCACTGTCACAGGAGTCTAGAATAGATTTCACCTTGAATTTGTGAAGATGCTTTTGCCCACTAACGTTCTTTATTCCAGCATCGATACTCCTGGAGTCATCCGACGAGTCTCACAGCTCTTCCATGAACACCCTGACCTCATCGTTGGATTCAACGCTTTCCTTCCCCTTGGCTACAGAATCGACATTCCCAAGAATGGCAAGTTAAACATACAATCGCCTCTCTCCAGCCAGGTATGCTGCTGCAGTGGTTTGTGTTATCTTGGCCTTAACACAGTCCACACTGGTTCTCAGGCACTCGGGTCAGACAGTATGTCTCGAATATTGCATTGCTGGAGAGCCAGTGACAATTTGGTCTTTCCTAGATGTGCTACTCTCTGCTAGCACAAATGAAAATAGATCGAAATACCTATACAGGCAGCCTCTGCTTCCCAAATCGACCCATTGGGAGGATTTAAATCAGGAGTGGATGTGTGTATGTGCATGTGAGGAAGGCATTCTCCTGACACAGTTTATGTCCAGTCAAAATAACCGCATCCCGAGTAACTAGGGTCTTGGCCTGAGGCCTTACTTCCCTGTGAGTGCACTAGGCAGGTGAGCTGGTACTCAAACATGTGGTCGCTCTGACCACCCTTGATGCCACCCACAAAATGAAGACCTTGGGATGTGGGTATGATTGGCCATTTTTATAATTGCTTGCAGGGTCATTAGCTCAGCTCAGGCTTGTGGCTTTGGTCTCTTCTCTCTTGGTGACAACTTGCTGCCTCCTCTATCTGCAGTGCAGAGGCCTCTTTGAGCTTTACTTTTATAGGCTTATTATTGTTTTTCTCTACCCTGGCCCTGTTACCATTTAAAATGTGGTGTTTTGCTGAAGGCAGTGGATGTCTAGGGCGTTGGAAGGTGTTTAGTAGTGTCCCTGACTCAACCCGCTAGGCCTTCACCAGACATTGTCACGTATCTTCTGGGAGTAGAATCGCCCCCAATGAGAACCGCTAGTCTGAGCAAACCCACTCTTTCAACCTCCTCCATCTCTGCTGCAGGGGTTTTAGGGGGGAAGGTAAAAATATTCAGGAAGCATTTTGTAGGTTTCTCCTCTGAAGAAAGAGTGTCCTCTCCAATGAGGGTGTCAGGTTGGGAAGGAAAACAGTGAGAGAGACCTACACAAGGCAAGCTCCACGTCTAGTGTGATGTTTTATTAAAGCCATGGGGTGCATCTGAGTTTTAAAAAGGAACTTGGAAGCCTGTGGCTGCTGAATTCCAAAGAGCTTCCATTTTATGTTTCTGAATGAAGCCCCAGGATCCAGACAGGGGGCTTGTGCCTCCAGACCATAATAAAAGCCTTGGCAGGATTAACCTTTGAAACAGTGACAGCTGGGGGAGGAAGCCAAGCTCATTGTCAGCAGAGTGCACTGAGTGCTTAGGGAGTCTGAAGCACCCTGTGAACTCAGGGTATCATTCCCACCACTTGCTACGAAAGAGCAAGAATCGTGCTTCCTGTGTGGACATGGCCTGTCTCAGTCCCTGGCCGTGGGAGTCACTGCTCTGGGCCAGGTCTCCATGGGAACTGCCTCTGCTGTTCTACACTCTCCCGGGAGGGTTCCGGTAGAGATAACAGACCGGACCAGTCTGGTCTTCCCTGGCTGGCCGAGGTGAGGAAGGCCCATTAACTTGAGGAAAGGTGGGAGAGAACTTAGTGTAACAGCCACTCAGCAGGGCTTCTCGTCTTTCTGCTTCCAAAAGAAGCCATATCCAGGTTCCGCCCCCAAGCTGGAGAGTGTGTTCAGGAACACCAGGCTGCTCTGCTCCGTCAGTGCTGAGGCCCAGCAGGGTTTCCAGCCGGCTTCTCAGCAGCCCTCAGTGTCAGGCACAAACAGGGTGTCTTCGCTGCTTCCCAGCGTCCCTCGAGAGGACATGGCAGCTGGACATCCTCACAGAGCTCCTTGTATGCCAGTGCTCTGGTGATGCTTTTTTAAAAATCGGTCTGTCTAGCCTCCCTGTTTGGAGTTCAGCTTGGTTCTTTTTGTTTTTCACCGCGCTGTGAATCCTGTCAACTGCAGACAAGGAGGGAGTAGCTCCTAGATGCTGAGGAAGAGAAGTAAGGGCGTCCTGGCCTGTGGGGAGCCCTTCACACAAGGTTTCCCAGTCTTGGCACCATTGCCATTGGGGCTGGATTGTTCTTTCTCGTGGGGCCTCCTTTGCACTCACTGCAAGGCACTGAATAGCACCTCTGCTCCGCCCACCTGATACCAGTAGCACTTTCTCCTCCAGTGAGACAACTTGGAAATGGCGCCAGACGTTCCCTGTGGGGCAGAATCGACCCAGCCGGAGAACACCATTTTAAAGGGGAAGATTGACAGACATGTGCCATGACAAGGGGAGCGTGGCCAAAAGGAGGGCCAGAGGACCATGAGCGGAAGAACGTCCCCTTACTGGGGTCACAGCTTCCGTAGTTGGTACCATTTTGGATCTTGTCTGGGTCTTGTTACGTCACCTATGCAGAGAGAACCCCATTGTCACCCTGTGTGTCACTCTCACACCACACCTTTTTTTTGGTAGCAAAGTCAGAAAATAAACAATCTGCTGTTTCTTACAGATTTGCCTTCCTGGAAAACCCAGGAGTCCTCCAGGTCAGGCAAGACCCTCATCTGCCTTGGCCCTGACTGTGTTCCCCCTTCAGCATGTGTTGTCAGGCATGTGTGGGCAGGGGGAGACACTGGATGTCGGTGGGTCCCCTCAAGGGCAGACCCTGCCTTCTGGGAGCTCACCTTTTTGTGCTTGCCTGGGGCAGCAGCCAGCTTGGGCAGGAATAAAAAGACCAACCTTTAGTGTAGCTTGTGAGATAAATGGCCCCATTGGGTTTGAAGGGAGGCCTGCTATCCATGCTGTGAGTAGGGTGGTCTGGAGGTTCAGTCAGTTCCTGGTAGGTTGTCTCTGCCCAGGTCACCCACAGAGTGAGTGCAGACCGTCTCCTGTATGTCAGGCCCTAGGGTTTACTGGAAGTCCCAGCTCCTGGGGTGCCCGCACAGACAAAGTGGGAAATCCTGAGATACAGACGGACAGATGTGAAACGTGTGACGGAATTCAGCACTGCAAGCAAAAGGTGGCCGGGGCAGGGCTTGAGGACGGCAGCGGGAGCCATGCATGGGGTGGGGGAGCGGGTGTCTTCCTGGTAGTGGGGTAGAGGCCTGAGGCAGGAATGAGGGAGGGTGTTTGAGAAACAGCCAGGAAGCCAGTGGGGCAGGGACACGAAGTGTAGAGTGGGATAGACAGCCAGGAGCGTCGGAAGTTGGTGGACAGTTCTGGAAAAGCCACTTTGGCTTCTATGCCAGCCATGGACTGAGGTTGCAGAGGAACCTGACAGTGGGAGAAGCCAGACAGTGGGAGAAGGGAAGGAAAGAAACGTGGACTGCTTGCCTCTTGCGCACAGCCTGATTTGGAATCAAGCTGGTGACCTTTTGGTTCGCAGGCTGATAGTCCACTGAGCCACACCAGCCAGGGCCTGTATAACCTTTTGTGTCTGTCTTCCTTTACTCAGCATGGTGTTTTCAAGGTTCATTAATGTTATGTTAGAGTGTCCACAAATCAGAGCTTCATTTCTTTTTATGGCTGAATAATACGCCCCCGTACGGATGAACCACGTTTAGTTCATCCGTTCCTCAGCTGGCGGACACTTTGGTTGGTTGTTTCTGTCTATTGGTGATTTTGACTAGTGAGTGCCACTGTGAGCATGAGTGTTGGAAGATTTGAACACCTGTTTTCAGTTTTTTGGGGATGATACCTGGGAGCAGAATCACTAGGTCACATGGTAACTGTGTCTGACTTACTAAAGAAACACCAGACTGTTCACTGTAGTGCTGCACCATTTAGTAGAACCCTGGTCTCTGGGGGTGGTTCTCTGTCTTGTCACAGTGACTCGCTCTAGGGGGTTGGAAGGCGCATGTGGTGCTTGAAAATGCCCCCTCAGAAGTGGTGGGGAGCTTCCAGTGAGTGCACAGCCTCCTCTGAAGCAAACCCTGGCCCCAAGGGTCCCTGTCCCTACTCCTTCCCTGCTATCTTCCACTGCGAGGCAATCAGCAAGAGCACCCCAGAGTGTTCTAGAAGGAATTCCACTGCCCCGGAGATGTGACATTTAGAACTGTGACTGCTCTGGGTCTGTCATGTCTCTGATGTCCTCGGCTCACACTTTCTAGAGTTACCTGTACACCCACTGCCATGGGCTGAGTTGTGTCTTATCCCCCCACCCCAGACTCTTAACCTTCAAGTCCCGACCCTCAGTGCATTAGAATGTGACTATATTTGGAGATGGGGTTCTTACAGAGGTACGTGAGGTAAATTAAGGCCTTGTGGTGACTGCTCATGCAGTCTGGTGTCCTGAGGAAATTTGGGCCCACAGAGAAACCCAAATGTGCACACACGGGGACAGCCATGAGAGGACACCATGAGAAGGCAGCCATCTGCAAGCCAGGGGCCTAAGGAGAAACCAGCTTCCTGAACTGTGAGGAATAAGTTTCTGTTCCCATGGCATTTTGTTACGGCAGCCTAAGCAGATGAGGACGCCCACCCAGATGACGGCCGGTGTGCCTTGTAGTCCCTGTCCTGCCAGAGCCCTGTGGGCGGCACAGGTCAGGTGCTGGGCGCCTGGGCGTTGGGGAAGGTTGTTCCTTCACTGTTCATCGTTCCCCAGCAGCGGAGGAAGCTGCTCTGTTCCAGGTGCTGCGGATGTAGCCGTGAACAAAGCAGAACCTCTGTCCCCGTGGTGGTTGCCATCTGGTCAGAGTGGACAGACAACAAAATAAGTGCAGCCTGTTACAGTATATGTAGGAGAAAAATGCAAGAAAGAGGCTCAGAGCACTGGGAGACAGGGTCATTTTAGTTTGGCATAGGATGGTTCTGGAAAACTGCTTGAGAAACAGCCCCTGCTTGCTGGAGATCTGCAGGATGCCCAAGGTCGCTCCTGATGGCCCAGCTGCTGTCAGAGGCAGGTGGAGGCTGTCATCAGAACCATGTGCAAAATTCCAGTTTAGAAACAGAAGTATCACCTTGGGGGGTTAAGGAGGCAGGGGGCATGTCCCAGCAAGAATTAGGATTCTGAGTGCAGAGGGCAGAGATGTGTGTATCTGTTTTTTCATCTGGATTGATGGAAAAAGCACACAAACGAAGGGCATGCTCGAAGACTGGGCAAGGCCCGCTCTTCTCTCAGGTGACTTGCCTGAGGCTTAGCACCAGAAGTCCCACAGTCTAGGCAGCCTGGACAGTGAGCCTCTCACACCTCCAAGCCCCTGGTGAGAGCAGGTGCTTCTGCGGTTGAAAACAGTCTTGCTGAAATGGGATGGCAAAAAGTGTGGGAAGTCTTGTTTTACAAAGAGGCCGAAACTCCTCTCCAAAAAGGATTAAACAGTTCACGTTTTGTACATTTCTCACAAATGCTAATTTTTCAAATTGCAGAGTGTCTCTCAACCCTTTGTGTGGTCCGAACTGGTTGGGAAGAATCAGGTGGCGGTGAGCATGTGAGACTTGCCCAGGAGGAGCGGTCTGCGTGTTCTGCACCCCTCCCTCCAGACCCCCAGAGGGAACCTTTTCCTGCGTCTCTTTAGAACACTTGGCTCTGCCGGGTTTGCCTGTTGCACAGACAGTGGCTTGGTGTGGCATTTTTCACACTCTGTCCTGGTGTCTGCCTGCCGGTAACTCATTGTCATGTTGTTGTCAGGAGAATTCGCACAACCACAGCGACTGTGCTGAGAATTTCAAACAACAGCTGCTGTACAAGGAGGACAAGCCCCAGGTGCCCCTGGAGTCAGATTCTGTGGAGTTCAACAACGCCATCAGCTACGTGAACAAGATTAAGACCCGCTTCCTGGACCACCCTGAGATCTACAGGTCATTCCTAGAGATACTGCATACATACCAGGTAGGAGGCCTCTGGTCTCACTTTTCCGTGGCTGCGCCTGGCACCATCCCGTGTCGGGTGCATTGGAAAGGTTTGTTTTCTTGTCTGGATTACGGAATTCTGTAAAAATCTGATTTTTTTTACCCTGGTAAAATACAGATAACATAAAACTGAGCATTTTAACCATTTTAAGTGTTGGTTCAGTGGCAGTAAGTACATTCACACTGTTGCACAGCCGCCGCCACCATCCATCTGCAAAACGCTTTTCATCTTGTAAAACTGATGATCTGTCCCTATTACACACTAACACCCCCTCCCCCAGCACCCACCATTCTACTCTCTGTCTCTGTGAATTTGTCGACTCCTCTAAGGACCTCACGAAAGCGGGACCCTGCAGTGTTTTTCCTTTTGTGACTGGCTTATTTCACTCAGCACCTGTCATAGCAGGTGTCAGAAGTTTCTTTTTAAGGCTAAGTACTATTCCACGGTGTGGACAGACCACACTCTATCCAGTCATCTGCTGAGGGACGTTTGGGCTGCTTCGAACATGGGTGTACAAATACCTGTTGGAGTTCTGTGTAGTTTTTACTTTAATTTACTCCTTGGGGCAGCTGTGCATTCAAGGAAATGTACATCAGAGGGATTTAAAAAGAACCTGAGGGGATACTCTTTTAATTAAAAGATTACTTCGTTATTGTTTAGACCACACAGCTTCCTTCGTTTCTGCTGATTACAGCTGGGCCCCGTGCAGGTGCTGGAGCGACAGAGATGAGTGCTTGCTGCTGCCCAGGAGTTCAGTCCAGAGGTGGGAGACACTTAGAGATGCTTGGGGTGAGAATGAAGGAAACTGCAAAGAGGGATGTCAGGATTAACAGTTGCCCGCTGTGTAGGGGTCGGATAGAAGGTATTCAGGTTAAATCTTGACAAATGGGTCAGAACCATCAGGTGCACAAGTACAGGTAAAGGGTGGGCTGTTGGTGTTGGGGACAGCCTGTGCAAAGGCCCAGGGGTCAGAAGGGGACATGACAGGATGTGCAGGCAGGCCAGTGCTGGGGGACATCTCTCTGTCCAGGAGAGAAGGAGTTTGGACATCATCCTGTTCCAGACATGAGGTTTCCTTTTATTTTTCTAAGCAGTGTAACTGAACTTTTAGAAATGAAATCTTCTGCACAACCTTGATAAGCGAAGTAAAGAAGTGGGATTCCCTTTAGCCATAAGTGTAGGGTAAGATTGATGGGGTTTGCTTCCTGTAAACCCAGGGGAGCTGTTGTGACACAGCAGACTTTTGCCATCAGTGGTGCTGGCGGTGTGCATGGCCCCATCAGAGTCATGTCTAGACTACCTAGTGCCTGTGCTATGATAAGGGCTTGCTTCTCACAGGGGAACGATTGCAGTGGCAGCTGTGAACATTCAATAGGACCAGGGGTGAAGGGCAGTGATGGGGATCATAGGAGCTTGTGGGTCTTTCACAGACTCCAAGCTGTCATTACAGCTTAGGGGCTGGGAGGTGTCTGTGCTGTTGGTGGCAATGAGAGGCAAAGAAGTTAGACATTTATCCACGGTCGTTATCCAAAGTCATGTGCGTGGGCCACAGACTCCTTCAGAGAAGCCTCACTGGGGAAGGTACAGCTTGGCATCCCCCAGCCAGAGCCACTGGGAGCTGGTGGGAAATGCAGGTGCCTGGGCCCCCCTGAGTTGAGACTCCTCAGGTCTTGCCCAGCATCTGCATTTCAAACAAGACCCCTAATGGCCTGGACCTCAGGCTGGCAGTTTCTTTAAGAGTAGTTAAACGTAAATTTTTGTGTCAGTTATTCTGACTGTAGAACATTGGCTTAGGTTTTTTAAAACACATTGTCAGGCCAAAATCCAGCAGCTCTGGGTAAATCTGGCCACATGTTACAGGATTTCGACCTCTGTTGGGCTTTGGTTCAGACCTTAGCTCTGCCCACTGCGCCCTCAGAGCCCTTTCCCTTACCCCACTGAGCCTCAGGTTAATCTGTCAAATGGCCGTAAGACTGGTGGTGCTGCTCCTGTGTTAAATGCAGTTAACTGAGGTCATTGACTGGCACGGTGCTTTCCTTGGGTCGCCTGTGGGGAGCTGGTCTCCACTGCCTGACTTCATGAATGTGTCCCAGGTGTACGTGGGTGAGCACCGCCAGTTCTGCCTCAATGTGACACAGGAGATTCCTAAAAGTGACCTTGCTCTAAAAATTTGCACCAGCCACAGGACTTCTGGGAAACCGGTCAGAGCACCCCACCAGGAAACTGTGTCAGCAAAACATTAAAAAAAAGCACCTACTAAACATAGTAGTGCCACCGAGTATATTAAATGGCTAAGAATGACACGAATACTGCAGCACTCCTGGCACTTGACATTGGAAAGACCTGAGGTTCACCCGTGGGTGTGGAAGGTCACTGGGAGGTGCTGGGAGGAGGTTTCCTGAAATGGGTGTTGTAACTTCCTGTGGGTATGGTGGGTTGCTCCTAACAGATGTTGGGGGTGGGTGTATTCCCACACTACTCCATCAGCTCTGCGATTTTTCTGCCCTCACCCACATAAGCAGTCGCAGACTCTGCACTGCGCTCTTGATTCTTTAGCGTGCGTGTCAGGCTCAAACAAACACATGTTCAAAACAAGCATTGGAACAGAACTGACTGTCTCCATGGGAACATCCCCAGAAAGTGTGTCCCTGAGTCAGGGTGTGTACCTGTCACGTGGTTGTAGATAGCGCCATCTTTCCCTGTGCCGGGTGGCACCAGTCTTCCTTTCCCCTTCATGGTTCCCACGTCCTGGTCAGAGAGCTGGTCCTTTCCATCCTCTTCAGTCCAATGAGCAAAGGAGCGCTCGCTGTGTGATCGTTTCACGTGTAGAGAGGTGGCACCCTCTCCGAACTGAGTGGTCTTCACCCATTTTTTCTTCGGATTTCAGGTGTCCGGTGACTTTGGTGGGGATTTGGGAGGAAGCAGTTATTTTTCCCCTCCTAAGTACATGCTATGGGTGCAGGGTTGAAAACTAGCCCCCCTGGGTGCAGCAGACCGGGACGAGGGAGACCGTTGGCTCATTCTCCCTTGGAGCCCTGGAGTAAGTGTGTGGAGCAGCAAAGTCCTGCACCCTGGGAGGCCCCGGCCCGCTGACACCTCTTGCTTGGTCACATTTCCAGGTGTAAAGTTTACAGAGACTTATTTCTAATGTATATCTTGAGTTCTGCCTGTGCTTCCTGCCTTCCAGAACCCAGTCCCCTCTGGTCTTCATCTTGTGACTTTGAGCACTGGGTCAGGCCATCATCTTATGTCAACCCTCAGGTCTTACTGACTCTGGGTGAACCATGTCATTGGATCAGAAGTGTCGTCCCTTCCTCTTTACTCTCCTCCATTTGAGGCCCAGCACCAGCACCACACCCCCCTGCCTGGCAGTACATGCTCCCTTGCCCTTGGGAGGGCTGGGACCACTGCCCTCATCCCCTCACACTCCCAGCATGGACCCCATCGAAGGCCAGGGCGCGCAGGCTGTGCTGTGAAATGAGGTCCAGACAAGGGAGTTTGGCACAGGGCACCCCAAGGTGGCAGGCTGGGCCCCTCTCTCCCAGTAGCTGTCCTTCTGTCTCCCCACAGTGAGATGCTTGAATGTCACAACCTAGGTACCTGGTTCTGTGGCTAACAGCTCATTTTCCCTTTCCTCACAATGGGCAGAAGGAGCAGCTAAGCACGAAGGGCCGGCCCTTCCGAGGCATGTCTGAAGAGGAGGTGTTCACCGAGGTGGCAAACCTCTTTCGGGGCCAGGAGGACCTGCTCTCGGAGTTTGGGCAGTTCCTGCCGGAAGCCAAGCGGTCCCTGGTAAGTAAGGGCACCCACCCAGCCTGGGCCCCACCTTCTCATCCAGATCCCCCTGCCTCACTGCAGCCCCAGAGCCAAGCCAAGCTTGTGCGACCCCCAGGACATGCTGGGTTCTCCCATGAGCCACACGGGATATAGACACCCAGGGGGCCCCAGTGCAGGCTCTACCTCCACATCAAGCTGGAGCAGATCCTGAAGAGGGCTTCTCAGTATGGACAGTGCCAGATGGCGAGGGCTGTTTTGGGAGGTTGAGATGAGAGGAGGGGATCTTGTATTCCTCCTGACCTGCAGCCCAGGACTACAGAGCCACCTGCCTTGTAAGCCGGGCCCTGTGGGCAGGTGCAGGTGGAGGCGAGCTGAGTCTTGGCAGTGACCGAAGGGCAGAGAGCAGAGGAGGGACCTGGGACAGGGACCATGAGGGTGCAGACTGTACTGTTAGTCTTTCTCCCTGTTGCGGCCTTAGGTTTGCTGGGCTATACTTCCCATTGCCTCTTTTCTTTTCCATGAACATGAGGCTTTTTTTTTTTTTAGTTGAAGTAAAATTTTTATGTTATTTTTAAAGATTTTATTTATTTCTAGACAGAGGGGAAAGGAGGGAGAAAGAGAGGGAAAGAAACATCAATATGTGGTTGCCTCTCACGTGCCCAGTACTGGGGACCTGGCCCACAACCCAGGCATGTGCCACGACTGGGAATGGAATCATCAGCGCTTTGGTTTGCAGGCTGGCACTCAAGCCACTGGGCCACACCAGCCAGGGTAGAATTTTAAAGCATATGGTGTAGTGGCATTTAATGCATTTACATGTTGAGTAAGCACTGCCTCTGTCTAGTTCTGGAACATTTCCACTCCCCGAAAAGGAAACCCCGTCCCCATTACAGTCACTCCCCATGCCCCTCCCCCTGCCCCTGACAACCACCAGGCTGCTTTCTGTCTTTGGATTTGCCTGTTCTGGACCTTCCATATAAGTGGAATCATACAACATGTGGCCTTTTATGTGTCTGGCTTTTCTCCCTGAGCATATTTTCAAGGTCCATCCATGTTATACCACGTGTTGGTATGTCACTCCTTTGCGTGGCCGAGCGATAGTCTATTGTGTGGATGGACCACGTTCTCTTTTTATTCCAGTGGACATTTGAAAGATTGCTGCTTTTTGGCAGTTGTGAGTACTGCTGATGTGCACGTGTGTGTACAAGGATTTGTTTGAGTCCTTGTTTTCACTTCCTTGGGGTCTATACCTGAGAGTGGAATTACTGAGTCGTGTTGTCACTCTGTGTTCAAGTTTCTGAAGTACTGCCAAACTGGTTTCCAAAGCAGCTGCACCAGTTTGTGCTCTCACTAGCAGTTCCTCCCCATCACTGACCCGTGGTGTTTTCCTCTCTTTTTTAAAAATTATATCCTTCATGGTTGCTGTGAAATGGTATCTCTTTGTGATTTTTTAAAAAGTATTTCATTTATTTATCTTTAGAGGGGGAGGGGAGAGAGGGAGAGAAATATCAATGTATGGTTGCCTTTCGTGCATCCCCTGCTGGGAACTGGCTTGCAACCCAGGCATGTGCCCTGACTGGGAGCCAAACTGTGGTTGTTTGGTTCAAAGGCCCGTGCTCAATCCACTGAGCTACACCAGCGAGGACTCGTTGTGATTTTGATTCATATTTCCCTGATGGCTAGTGATACTGAACATTTTTTCATGTAATTGTCGGCCATTTGTATACCTTCTTCTTTGGGGAAATGTGCATTCAGGCCCTTCACCTGTATTTTAGTTTGTCTCTTGGTTGTTGAGTCGTAACAGTTCTTTATATATTCTGAACATTAGACCCTTATTAGATACTTTCCTTCATTCTTCTGGTTGTCTTTTCACTTTCTGGTTAGTGTCCTTTGATGCACATAAGTTTAAGTTTTGATCAAGTCCAGTTGACTTTTTTCTTGCTCATGCTTTCTTTTAGTGTCAAGTCTAAGACTCCATCTCCATATCTTTTAGAGTCAGGAAGGTTTCTCCCTGTTTTGTAATAGTTGTGTAGTTTTAGCCATTATGTTTAGGTTATTGATCCCTTTTGTGTTAGTATTTGTAGATGGTGTGAGGTAAGGGTCCCACCTCATTCTTTTGCATGTGGAGATCCAGTCACCCCAGCACTGTTTATTAAAGCTCTTTTGTTCCCATTAAATGGTCTTGGCACCTTTGACGAAAACCAGTTGGCCCTGGTTGTGTGAGCTTATTGCCGACTCCCCGTTTCTAACCCATTAATCCCCCGTCTTCCCTCAGGCCGCCAGCACCACACTGGCCCGGTTACTGTAGCTTTGTAGGAAGTTTGAAAGCTGGAAGCGTGAGTCCTCCAACTTCATTCTTTGCCAAGATTGTTTTGGCTCTTCAGGGGCCCTTGCAGTTCCATATGAATTTAAAGATCAATTTTTCTTGGCGATCTTTGAAAGTCACCATTTCTGTGGATAGGAATTGCATTGAATCTTTCAGCTGTTCGGGGAGTAGTTAACTTAATAATATTAAGCCTTCCAGTCCACGACCATGCAGCATCTTCCTGTTTATTTAAATTGTCTTTCATTTCTTTCAGCAGTGTCTTACACTTTTCAGTGTACAGGTCTTGTACCGCCCTGGTTAAATTTATTAAATTTTTTTTTATACTTTTGGAAATGGAATTTTCATTTTCTTTTTTTTTTTTAAGTTTTATTTATTTTTAGAGAAAGAGGAAGGGAGGGAGAGAGGGAGAGAAACATCAATGTGTGGTTGCCTCTTACGCACCTCCTACTGGGGACATGGCCTGCAACCCAGGCATATGCTCTGCCTGGGAATCAAATCAGCGACCCTTTGGTTCTCAGGCCAGCAGTTAGAATTGTTTTCTTAATTGCATTTTCTGATCTTTCATTGCTAGTATATAGAAAGACCACTTCTGTGTGCTTTCTGTGTGTCAATTTTGTAACAGTTGCAGTTTTGCTGAATTTGTTGATTAGCTTTGTTTTTGTGCATTCGCTAGGATTTTTTATGTATCAAACTATGCCACCTGCTAATATAGTTTTCCTTCCTCCTTTCCGGTTTTGATGCGTTTTATTTCTTTTTTTTTTTTTGTCTCATTGCCCTGGTGGAACCCCCAGTACTGTGGTGGAAGCAGGTGTCCTTGTTTTGTTCCTGATCTTGGAGGGAAAGACTAAAGTCTTTCACTTTTGAGTGTGCTGCGAGCTGTGGGTTTTTCATAAGTGCCCTTTGTCAGCTTGAGGAAGCTCCCTTCTCTCCCTAGTTTGTTGACTTCTGTTTCCTCTTTTCATTTTTCTTCCTCTCTGCCCTTGATGATGACCTGGAGTGTGAGCGCATGAAAATTCACCCCGCCCCCTTCATGTGTCATCACCACTTCTGAACGCAGATGTGTGGAAGCAGGGCTGGGGGCGGTGGCATCGAAGGGAAATCAGGAGCAACCGGGGTCTGGGTTTAGGTGCCCCGAACATTCTCCGTTCAGCCAGAGTGGGCTGGGGTTTGTCCCATGCTCCTCACACACTCTCCCTGCCCTGTGTCAGTGTCTCCAGGGCCCTTAGCAAGGATGCCACCAGGAAACCCTGACTCCAAGTCAGAGAAGCCCTGTGCCTATCAGTGGAGCTGACATTAAGTGCTGGAGCTGGAGCCCTGGGCATCTTAGGGAGCTGAGGGACGGGGTGGAGCCCTGTGAGTACTACAGCCTGGGCCATGGCACTTGGCCTCCTGAAGCGCTGTACGTGGGCTGCAGCCAGCCGCATCACCTCCTGGGCCTCCTTTCCTTCTCTTCCATGAGATTAAACAGTCTTGCTCAGGTGGGGACCCAGCAAGCTGTTGTTCTCCAAGTGCCGCCTGCAGGGCCCTCCCTACACGTGCTCAGTGCTCTGTCCTCCTCCTCTCCTCAGCAGAAGTCTCACCACCTCCTTCTGCATCCCTGGTAGCTTGAGCTGCATTCTGTCTCACTCTGTGGAGCCCCATAGTGCCCCCCTTGTATGTTTGGTAAGTTTTCTTTGGGTCTCATCCTCTTGGATTTGGGTCTTGCATCTCAGCTCTGACCTCGGCCTTGGCAGCTCTTTCCCTGAACTTGCCCTCACAGATTGAAGGGTACATAATAATGTCCCAGAGCCTTCACCATCAGTGCTGAGTAGTCCAGAGGCAGCCCACCTTCATGGGAAAAAAGGCCTGGGTGAGTTTTTGCCTGCTTTTGCTACTCTGGTGGAAGTCAAGGGGCGAGGGATATGGCCTCACTTCACACCCCAGGGAGGCTCAGGAAAGCAACGCCGCCTTGACTAGAAACAGTGGGTGCAACGCCTGGAGCAAGGACTGACGGTTGCACACCTGATCCTTATCTCACTTTATCACTTTCTGGCTGTCGGAGCCTGCCAGGTCACTTCCACAAGCCTTAGCTTCATCTAGAATTGCAGTGGGGACCTACCTCCTCAGGCCTGTCGGCAGGTTCCGTAGGGAAGTGCCTGGCCAGGGTGAGCCGAGGGCCCTGCCTTTGCTGATCTGTGCTGCAGAACCACCCGGGGGTCGGTGTGGCCTATGGAGAGCCCTGTCCACTGCGGTTGTGGGGGCGTCACACAACAGACACTAGGTAGTTGATAGGACTCTCAGTCCACACTGCTTGTTCCAACTGTGAGCAGTTTTTTGGCAAGGACTGTCTTAGTTCATGAAACTTCACCTTGGTGGTGGTTCTTTAAGCCCTGGGTAAGGTGGCCAGTGAATGGAACCTCTTGTCCTCTGTGGTCACAGCGACCCCTGGTGGTATATTTGGGATTTTGCAAAATTGGACATGGACAAGCCTGTCCTAAAAAAGAAATAATAATAGTAAGCATTTCCTTCAGAAAATTTCCTGTCCACAGTCTTTAAGTGGCATTTATTAGTAACTCATTAGTTTTTTAGTGTATATTGGGTGATTAGAGCTACTTTATACATTCAGAAAGATTAAATCAGATTTTAAATTATTAAAAACACTTATGTACAATCTGTTATATAAAGTGTTCTTTATATTCATAGTCCTTTATATTAATTTTTGGATTTCTATTAAAACTTCAGGAAAAAGAAACCAAAGATGAAATTTGATATTGTTCTAATTAAACTCGACTGTTTGGCCTAGATCGGAGTTGGCAGATGTTTTCCTATGAAGGGCCAGATAGTAAGTATCTTAGACTTTGCAGGCCAGGCAGCTTCTGTGGCAAAGAAACTTTATTTACAAGAACAGACCGAGCATGGTGAATATGCCAGCCCCGGTCAAATGGGTTTCAGGGTCCATCTAGCTCAAGCGTGTGCAAATTGGAGCTGTGAATGAATGTTGTTAACTAATACTGCACTTCCAGCTGAGCAAGCCTGGCCGGACAAGCAGTGGGGGCACCACCCCACCCTACTCAGTATGTGTCACAGTGTCCCCACCCACCTCCTTTAGGAACTGGTGTTTGCATCTTACTCTTGCACCCAAAAAAGACGAGAGAGAATTTTCCACTAAGGTTCTTGGAGTAACTGAATCTTCATATAACTACTTACAAAGAAATTTGTCCCCTGAGGGACGAGTTTGGCCTGTAGTTAGTGATAGGGATTCATTATTGTCATTCTGATTGTTATAAAATAGTACATGGTCATGAAAAAATCAGGTATCTGTAAGGGTATCAGTATGAAAAGTAAAAGTAAATTTTCCTTCCTCTCCTCAGTTTCCCAGTCACTGTTCTCAGAATTAAGCACCCACAGTGTCTTCTATGTGTTCTTCTAGAAATTCCTACTGCATGTGCAAATAAAGGTTTATCCTTTTTTAAAAAAAATAGCACCTTGTTTGTGTGTTTTTCAGTTTTTTCTTCTGCTGCACGTAACTGTATCTGTGCACCCATCCTGAGCAGTGCACACAGGCGCAGAGCGCTCTCTCGCCCGATGGACGCTGCCGTGCTGTTTAGAGGCAGCATGGCTTGCTTGCCCAGCCCCGCTGTGGGCCCCCCGCGTGTCCTTTGTGTGGTGTCTCTGTTCACGTCCCATTGTGGCGGGGTGATCTCAGTGTGCCCTCCCAGCCCTACCCCCACCTGGCAGAGAGGCTGAAGCCTGTCCACCGTTCCCCACCCACTGCGGCCTTGTGGCACGTTTACATGGAGGCAGATACTGACTAGATTCTTCCAGAACGGTTTTTTGGTAAATATTGCCAACACCCCATAGACACTCCTCTTGGGAGAAGCATCCACATAACCTGTTAGTCGGTGGCTGGCGAGGGGCCCCCGCTGAGTGGTGACACTGCTTATCCTAGAAGAGAACATGGACTTGGCTGGAAGGCACCTCCAGCCACCGAGTGACCTGGTGGCTGTTGACCGCTTCCTCTGGCTGCTGGGGCTTTGTACATGCAGTCCCCTTGTCTGAAAGGCGTTTTCTGTTCCTACTGCCCTTGAACACCAGACCCTCTTATCAGAGGTCCTCGGGTGAGCCCCACACACCGAGGCCCCTCTCCAGTGTTGCACCTGAGGCCTTCTTCGCCCGTCAGGACCCACCCTCTAGCGTGGCCTTCCGTGAGCTTTCTCCCAGCCTCCTGCTGTTCGTTACGTTGTCGTGGCCTGTGGACAGAGCCCCTCGCCCGTGGCAGACAGTGCTCTCGGGCGCCGGGGGCCGGGCTGAGCTGCCGGCCGTTCCGTGCGCTCAGGCAAGTGGAGAACCCGCAGGCATGGGCCCGGCCACGGATCTCTAGTGCTGACCGCCTCCTGCGTTTGTGTCCTTTAGTTCACAGGAAATGGGCCCTGCGAAATGAACACTGTCCAGAAGAGTGAACATGAGAAGAACCTGGAACACAGCAAAAAGCGCTCCCGGCCCTCGCTCCTCCGACCTGTGTCAGCACCGGCCAAGGTAACCGTCAGCCGTGAGTGTAGGTGTCTAAGTGTGAGGCGGCCCGGTAGCCGGGCCTTGTCTGTAGGTGGCCTGGGGAGAAACACTTTCAGGCTCCAAGCAGTCAGCCTGGGGCAGGAGGCTGAGCCTGGAACTTGGTCTGCCTTGAAATGCACCGGCTATGGAACCTTGGGAAGTCAGCTCACCTCCACGGTGGCTCCTCATCTGTGTCTGTCTCATAAGATGGTTGTGAGGAGTGTTACTTCCTCGAGAAACCACAACTGATTCTCTCTCTGCTCGTTTCTTTCATGGGCAGGGCCCCGTGTACAGGTGGGTCACTGCACCAGGTGCCCCGCTGGGGGAGGAGAGGGCCTGAGTTCTAGCTCCTATTGCACTCATCACCCGTGGTAGTGACTTTCTGGTTCCACTGTTGTTTATGCCTTTCCCAGTGCCTTTCCGCTGTAAGGAAGGGCTGCTGCTTCAGCCACATTGATTCAGTTACCTGTGTCAACACAGACTCCGGGTGCTGCCCAGATTGCCCCAGGGTTGACCAGTGAGGTCCTTTTGGCTCCTGTGTCCTCCTGACATGTTGCCATCATTCTTCAGGCACTTGGGAGATGGTTTTGTAGGCTCTGGAGTGCAGCCAAGTTCAGGTTTTAGTCCAGCTTAGAGACCAATGTCTCCATGGAGATTTAAAATACGGGCTTCTCCAGTATTCCACAGTGCTGTCCTCTCCCTGTCCCTTTCCTGTCCCCTTCCCATCACTGTCATGGCCCATAGGACAAAACAGGCAGGGAGGAGGTTTCTGATACTGTTGCCAGGGGCACAACTTCCTGCTGTTCCAACTTTATGATGGCCCCACCTGTTACCAAAAGCCCTAAACTGTCGGACTTAGATCCCACATTGTGGGCGGGGCAGTCGTGTGACCTTCACCGGGTCATGGAAGTGGAGGTGGGTGGTCTAAGACTTTTGTCCATAGTGGTCCTGGGCTGACCTCACCCAGCAGCCAGTGATGGATTCTGTCGGAACTCAGTGCTAGCGGTGTTGAGACTGACCGAGACGGACAGAGGGGCCACCCCTGAGACATACACAGCCCCGACAGCACGAATTTCTCTCCACAGAAGAAAATGAAGCTGCGTGGTACCAAAGACCTGTCCATCGCTGCCGTGGGGAAGTATGGGACCCTGCAGGAGTTCTCCTTCTTTGACAAGGTGACTGGTGGGGCTCACACGTGCAGGGCAAGAACTCCTGGGAAGGGAGGAGATGGAGAGGGGGGATCGTGGGTGGGTCTGGGAGGTGGGGCCAGCACCAGCTTTCCCCATGGAAAGGACAGATGGCAGGTGGTGGGCAGGAGGTGGCAGAACTCGGTCGAAAACAGGTTTGAGGACACACGTCTGCCGCTCCCCAGCTGTGTGATTTTTCTAAAGCAGGGATCTTGCTGGGGCTCCCACCCAGAACCAGCAAGGTACCCTGTGCTGTGCTATCTGAACTGCGGACCACTCGCTGCAAGGAGAACACGGCCCTGCACACTGCTGCCAGTCACTTTCAGGCACACCTGTGTTGGTGATGTCCTGTGCCTGGTGGTGTCCAGACCAGGCGAGAGCCGGATGGGGCCCAGCCTGCAAGGCCTCCTGACTCGTTCTTCCTGCAGGTACGCAGGGTCCTAAAGAGCCAGGAGGTCTATGAAAACTTTCTCCGCTGCATCGCCCTCTTCAACCAGGAGCTTGTGTCCGGCTCTGAGCTCCTCCAGCTCGTCAGCCCGTTTTTAGGGTGAGCAACACTGCCCCAGGCTCTGCACACAAGTCTCGTTGCTGTAGACTCTGTCCACATTTCCTGGGCTCTTCTTTTTGAGAAGTGTTAAGTGCTTTTATTAATACCGTCTTGAAGCAGTCGTCATTGTGGTGATTGTTAGATACTCATGGGCAGTTTTGAGGAAGAATACCCACTCTAGAACTTGTTCTCTCCGTAATGACATCTGTAGTCAGCCTCCTAGCAAGAACGGTGACTCTCGGGCAACCCCCCATCTTTGCAGGTTTCCCTGTTTCTAATACCCATGTGTGTGTGCACACGTGTGTGTGTTTATGTGAGTACAGCTCTACACCTGGGGAGGGCACGTGTCCACTACCATAGTCAGGATGCACCACGGCTCCAGAGCCGCAGGCCTTTGTCCCCACCAAGCCTCAGGCAGCCACTTGTCTGTGCTCTGTCCCTCAAACATTTACATGAATAAAGTGCTATGTAAATGGAGTCATACAGTATCTTTTGGAATCAGCTTTTCCCAGCTGGCATAAAACCCTGCAGATTCTCTTAATATAGGCTTTCAAAATTCCAACAGTCAGAAACTGCAGGAAGAATGAAAGGCTGCCTAGCAGCCTAGCCGCCTGAAGAGAAGCCCTGTCCTGCTGCAGAGTGCGGGCTGCTGTGTGTGTGGGCAGACTGCAGGCCAGGGCAGCCGCTGGGAGGGTGAGCATGTTCTCAGAGGCCCATGCCCAGTGACCTTGGGAAAAGGGGCCTGGCCAGGTCCCAGCACGGCCTCCCCTCCCCAGCCTTGTCACCTTGGGCAAGTTTCTTAGCCAGTCTGACTACAGTTTCAGGAAGATCTATGTGGGCGTTGTGTGTGTGTCAGACTCTTAAACTACAATCTGGAATATGGGGAGTGTGTGTTATACACAACTGTACGTGTGATCTGTTTATCCCCAAAGGCATCTCCAGCGGGGGAGACTGCCTGGCTCTGTCATGGCAGGATCACCGTGCCAGCTGTCATAGTAACTGCACCCTCTGAGTAGGATTTGATACGTATTTAAACAGTCCAGGTGACGCTGGGGTGGATTGCATGAAAACCTTCCCATCAGCATGCATGGCAGTCACGTTATGACTCATGAGACTGTATCCATAGAGGGTGTTCCCAAGAGGGTCTCCTCCCTGGGGGAGGAAGACTCTGGAGCAGAGCCTGGCAAACCGAGCTGATCTGCCGGGGGCCAAGGGCTAGGACTGCCCAGCTCTGGCATGGTGGCCACCAGTGATGCATCAGGGAAGGCCGTCACTGTGCCAGGGAACCCTCCCTTGCAGAGGCAGGTGAGGGCAGACTGCTCAGCCCTGGCACTTCCAGTGAAGGAGCACTGCTGACCCAGCACCTGCCAGTCTAGGTTTTCTTCTCCGGTGTGTTCCAGGGCCGTCCTTCAAGGGGGGCCTGGCTAGTGACGGAGTTTTGGGGGACAGGTTCGTTCCCAGGTAGGACTGTTTGCACATCTGGTGTTAGGTTCTGCCCCTTGCCTCTCCTCCCTGTCCTTGTGTTCTGACCGTCTGTGACCACGAGTGTCTCTACAGAGCTATTCTGAAATCTCTAGATCGCTTCCAGAAAGCCCCAGGGGTGCCGACTAACTCTCTGTCTTTATTTCTGAAGGAAATTTCCAGAACTCTTTGCACAATTCAAGTCCTTCCTGGGAGTGAAAGAGCTATCATTCGCCCCGCCCATGAGCGACAGATCTGGGGATGGAATAAGCCGGGAAATCGACTACTCATCTTGCAAGCGCATTGGATCCAGCTACCGGGCGCTCCCCAAAACCTACCAGCAGCCCAAGTGCAGTGGGAGGACGGCCATCTGCAAAGAGGTAGCTCCCCAGGGCTTGTGCGGCTCGTGTGGTGCATGCCCCTGTAAAACACCCAGCACTTTCCCATCCCAGGTGAAAGACTGAATGTCAGCCCCCCAGTGTTGGGTGATGGGTGGTGCCGGGAGGTGGCAAATCCCTGAGCAGAGACGTCATGCCCTAGTGGCAGTTTTGGCAAGCTGCAGCACCCGTGGCCCAGCATGGCATTCAGTGTATTTCTCCATCATTTTCGACTTGGGTTTATTTCAGCTGTAAGCCTGCATAGTCCTGGGCCCACCAGCTTCAGTAAGACCCCATGGCACTCAGCATTCGACGCTGTGCAGGCTGCCAAGTGCACAGACTTACTGTGCACCCAGAACTTCAGGGTGCCTGCTGGGCTCCCGGGCGTAGCCGGGGGTCAGCAAAGAGTGGCCTGTGGGCCAGACCCCAGGCCGAAGCTGGCCCCCACTGCTTGTGTTTGTCAGTAAAGTTTTACTGGCACACAGCCATGCCCTTGATATCCATGTTGCTGGTGGCTACTTTAGTAGGACACAGAGTTGGGTGGTTCTGGCAAGTCTGAACAAGCCCATAAAACATGAAATATCTGTTATCCAGCTTTTTACAGAGAAAGTTTGCTGATCTCTGAAATAGTGTGATTTGTTCACCTTGATCAAAGTCTTGTTTTCTTATAAGGTCACTTTAAAATTAAGGTTACTATTCGTATGTAAGGGAGTGTACTGTGAAATCAGAATGCCCTTTCTTCTCATATGTTTTACACTAGATAACACAGTGAACAGGTCTGGCCGTCAGGGCTTGTCACCCAGGTAACAGTGTTTCCTCTGGTGCAGGTGCTGAATGACACCTGGGTCTCCTTCCCCTCCTGGTCGGAGGACTCTACCTTCGTCAGCTCCAAGAAGACACCCTATGAGGAGCAGCTGCACCGCTGTGAGGACGAGCGTTTTGAGGTGCGTGTGCTGGTGCCCCAGGGCCTCCGGGTGGCCCTGGGTCCTGGCCCAGATGGGGGTGGCTGTCCCCCTCCTCCACACCACTGCCCTCTCTCCCCTGCTCATCCCCCTGTCTGTCCTGGGAGGTATCCAGACCCTGCCTAACCCCTCAGCGTCCTCTCAGTATTGGGGTGCCAGCGCTTTCCAACAGGGGCCGCTCCGTATGGGTCTCCTTCCTGTGTTGCTTTCCTCCGGGCTGGCCGGGCAGTATATTTGAATTTAATTACTTATTTTTAATGTAACTATTTGAATTAAGAATAAGTTAGCTTAATTTTTTTTTAAGGTTTACTTATTTATTTTTTAAAGAGACAAGAAGGCAGGGCTAAGAGAGGGAGAGAAACCTCAGTGTAAGGGAGATACATCACACACCCCCATTTGGGGACCTGGTCCACAGCCCAGGCACTTGCCATGACAGGGAATCAAACTGTCGAACTTTCAGCTTGAAGGCCGGTGCTTAATTCACTGAGCCACACTAGTCAGGGCTTAAATTAATTTTGAAAATTAACTTAATTTTCTGGTGAGAGGAAGGCTGAGGTCATCATAGAGCCACATGCAGCGTAAGAAATTGTGCAGCAGTCCAGGTTCCCTTTGCCCACGGTGACAGCTTATAAACCCCTGTCAGAATATCACAGCCGGGTCAGCGACGTTGGCACATCTGCCCACTTGGACCGTATTTGTGTACGCATGCCTGTATTTGCATATGTGGTGTGTGTGTGTGCCTGTACTGTGCACGCACATGTGTTCCGCTCTGTGTGGTTTTCCCTCCTTTGGTGGTGCATGTATCCACCACCACAGCCGAGGTAGCGGGTGGCTTCTCACTGCTAGCACCCTCGTTCTGCCCTTTGTCCGAACACCCCCCTGCCGGCCCCGCCCAGTGCTGACCTCTCTCACTGTGTCGTGAATGGGGTAACACGGTATGTGCCCTTTGGGGATTGGCTCTCCCTACACATGCCCAGAGAGGTGTCCAGGGGTTAAGTGCACCATGGGTCCCTTCCCTCTTTTCGGCCAGGCAAAACTTGCTCTTTATGCCCCTGAAGGGGGTCAGCCAGCGGTGAGCAGCCCATGGCTCTTAGTCCCTTGGTGCCGAGTCCTGCATTCGTGCCTCCCGTGGCTGGGCCCCAGCTCACTAATCAGCCACGCTTGCTCAGGGCCCTGCCTCCGAGTGCCTGGCATCCCCAGTGCTCTGTCCAAGCAGCCCTGCTCTAGGCTGGACCCCCCCCCAAGAGTATCCCTGACCCCTTCCCGCCTTCCACTCCGTAGTTAGACGTCGTCCTGGAGACCAACCTGGCCACAATTCGGGTGTTGGAGAGCGTGCAGAAGAAGCTCTCCCGAATGGCACCGGAAGACCAGGACAAGTTCCGGCTGGACGACTGTCTAGGGGGCACGTCCGAAGTGATCCAGCGTCGTGCCATCCATCGGATCTATGGGGACAAGGCCCCTGAGATCATCGAGAGCCTCAAGAAAAACCCTGTCACTGCTGTCCCCGTCGTCCTCAAAAGGTTTCCTTGGCTTCTGGCCCTGAGGGAGCTCATTAGTGTTGTTGGTCACAGGTGCCGCCACAAGGCTAGGGGTGGGGGTAGCGGAGGTCCCTGGGGCCTCAGGCCGGCTCACTGAGTTTTCCAGTCTTCTTCCTCTTCTTGTTCCCTTCTCGAGAGGAAAACGTGCTTAAAGTCCGAGTCCCTCAGCCACGCACACATAATGAGATCTCACCATGAGGAGTGGGGCCCGTACCGCAGCTTGCCTCCCATGTAGAAATGTGCCTTAGCAGCTGTTCCGTGACAGGGAATGGGTGTAAAGTGGCTGCCCTCAGTCGGTGCCGTGTTTGTCCCTGGGTGGTAGAGCTGAGCAAGGCCCACACCGTCCCCTCCTTCATGGAGGTCACAGTAGAGCCAAGAGCTGCAGGGAATATTGTCAGTGGCGGGAGCCAGGGCAGGGAGGAAGTTGGTCCCGTGGCATCGATATTTGAGCAACCGTGAAACCAGCCACGCTAGTCCTCCAGGACCGTGGCCCCCACCCTCTCTCCTTTAGTCAGCACAGACAGGCTGGAGCTGGCTGTCCCGAGTTTGGGGCACAGTGGCTGGGCTGTGGGAGGAAGACAGGCTGGTCCTGTGCGGGGATGACTCGGGTGTCCTGGGCATTCCTGCACTCTCCCTGTAAGCCCCTCTGGCCCCACAGGCTGAAGGCCAAGGAAGAGGAGTGGCGGGAGGCCCAGCAGGGTTTTAACAAGATTTGGCGGGAGCAGTACGAGAAGGCATACCTCAAGTCCCTGGACCACCAGGCTGTGAACTTCAAGCAGAACGACACCAAGGCCCTTCGCTCCAAGAGCTTGCTCAACGAGATCGAGAGTGTCTACGATGAGGTGAGGCCCTTCTCTGTCCTGGTCCCTGCGCCCCTGTCCCAGCGTTGGGGTGGGTTGGAGGCCTCTCCCTCACAGGGCGAGGGAGGCGTGTGGATGGATGGGCGTTTCTGGAGCACACAGACTAGGGCTGGTCAGGGGAGGACTGTTGTCAGCTAGAGCACCTGCCGTGGGCCTTGAGGGACCTTCCTTCAGTTACGTGGCACTGACGGCTTTCGTTTCTCCGCTGTCGGTGTGTGCCGGGCAGCGTTTCAGCCCCCAGAGGGAAGGTCCTGTATAACCCTTACTCATAGATCTTCCTGTGGAAGTTTGTTTGCCAAATTTTAGCAGAGAGGAAACAGGCACAGGAGGTGGCCACTGCCAAGGCCAGTCACAGGAGACCAGACCTCTGGGCCCTGGGGCTCCCCCTCCAGCAGCTGCGCCATGCCTTCTCGCCAGTCTTGGGACGTCTGGGCTCATGGGCCCTGAACCACAAAACTGAGGCAGGGCTGGCCTCTTGGGCTCTGAGAATCTGGACCTTTGAGAAATGCACACAGGGCGGCCTGGCAGGGAGGTGGAGACCACCAGGTGGCTGTCAGGAAGGTTGGCCAGAGCTCCAGGGAGTGGCACGGGAGGGGTTGCTGCGCCAAGGAGACAGACCGCGGCATCAAAGATTGAGCATTTGCATGGGCTGGTTGCTTATTGCTCACATAAGCAGCAAGCAGTTGTATCTACTCTACAGTACGGAAGTTGAAGGCGGGGGAGCTGGCTACTGGGGGGCTCTGGGGGGGTGCCCTGTCCAGAGTGCATGCTCTTCCCTGTCACTGGGCAGTGGCCCAGAAATCCTTCCCTCCCTCCTTTTTCTCCTGGGGCAGCCTCTCTCCTGCAGGGCCTACCTCTTGGCCTCTGGTTTTATCCTACAGCCTGTCTGATCCCCTTATAGGGGACCTCAAAGCCTGAGTCACGCCCCCATCCGAGGGGGTCTGTGGCACATTGTCAAATTGAGGGTGGTAATACAGCCCAGCAGACCCATTGCTCACCACTGAGTTGCTGGGCTGTGCCCCTGGGGACGGAGAGGGTAAGGGCATTTGGCTGATGAGGGCAGGGCACAGTGTGGAAAGCCCTGCCCCCATGTCCTTCCGATCACTAGTTCTGTTGGAGAAGCAGGCTGTCATCACCACCCCCTCGCTGCCCTGCCCCCGCCCCTGCCCTCAGGACATCCTGCCTACCAGGATGGCCCCCACACTTGCTTTTCCCAAGAGCCCAGCGTCCCCCAGTGCATTCAGTCTGGAAGAAGCCATTGTCTTAAGGTTTTTTGGGAGAACCATCGTTGGCTAAAGACCGAGGGGAGGGTGAACCCAGGGCCATGGTTCTCCAGGCAGAAAGAGCAGACAGCTCACACAGAGGTCCTGTATATGTCAGGGCCACTTGACTCCCCCCGAAGCATCAGAGGAGGGGCACTGACTTGGTGTTGAGGTGGGAGGCTGCAGGACCACATGCCAGGGACTGCAGTTCTCCACTGAGCAGTGTGGGAGGGCGATGGAGCTGGCTTTGCTCCCGTGGGCCCAGTTGCTCAGGTCTTGGAGTGTTCAGAGCTGGCAGGTGAATGGGAACAAGCAGGTACGGGAGCTTGTACAAGGTGATAGGAGGACTGTGGAGGGGCTGGTGGCAGCTGGAAGAGGGGACAGAGGCAGGGTGTGGGCTGGGGGTGAAGGGCTATGGAAGGAGACAGTTAACATGTGAAGAGTCTTGGGGCTTCAAGGCCTCACTGGGCATCCACGAGTGAGTGTGGAGGGCTGGCCCAGGGGGCACCCTGAGCCTTCCTCACCTCCCTGAAGAGCTTGGACTGGGCAGCTTGGGTCGGTTGGGACTTGGTGACAAGGGCCCTGGTCCTCTCATGTCCCAGACCTGTAGGTACTGCTGTGGTGTTGGTAGTGGGAGGGACAGGAGTTGGCCCTGTTCTGGTCCTGGTTGTGGGCGATGAGACACCATTAGAGCCCCTCAGCCTTGGGTCCCCATCTCGGGTTTTCCCAGTGGATTGCTTCTTGCCTGACACCCCCCTGTCCCCAGCACCAGGAGCAGCACTCAGAGGGCCGCAGCGCCCCCTCCAGCGAGCCACACCTTATCTTCGTGTATGAGGACAGGCAGATCCTGGAGGATGCAGCCGCGCTCATCAGCTACTACGTGAAGCGGCAGCCGGCCATCCAGAAGGAGGACCAGGGCACCATCCACCAGCTGGTGCACCAGTTCGTGCCCAGCCTCTTCTTCTCCCAGCAGCTGGACCTAGGGGCGTCTGAGGACTCTGCTGACGAGGGCCGGGGGAGCCCCCAGGGGCAGAGCGGGGACCCTGGCGACCGGAAGAAGCCGGTGCCTGGGCCACAGAGCAGCCCCTCAGAGGAGAAGGGGGCCTCCGGCGAGGGTTCTGCCCCTGAGCAGCAGCAGCAGCAGCAGCAGCAGCCGCCGCCTCCTCCTCCACCGCTGCCACCGCCGCCGCCGCCGCCACCACCACCACCACCACCACCTCACAAGCCCATGGATGACGTCTACAGCCTCTTCTTTGCCAACAACAACTGGTACTTCTTCCTGCGTCTCCACCAGACTCTGTGCTCCCGACTCCTGAAGATCTACCGCCAGGCGCAGAAGCAGCTCCTGGAGTATAGGACCGAGAAGGAGAGGGAGAAGCTGCTCTGTGAGGGGCGCCGGGAGAAGGGCAATGACCCCGCCATGGAGCTGCGGCTCAAGCAGCCTAGTGAGTTCCCCAGATCCTGCGAGAGCCCAGGGATGCTGTGCAGGCGCTGGGAGACGGGTGGCAGCCCATGTGTGCCCCAAGGGTTTTGGTTCGTAGCTATGACCAGGAATGTCCCTTTGTGTTTTTCTGACTTCATTTGAAATAATCGTTATCTGAGATGAGAAGTCACGAGAATAGCGGTCTTGAGCATGCCTCTCCTGCCCAAGCAGAAGCACCACTTCCAAGTGGTGCTGTGGTAGGACCAGGAAAGCACCATCGCGGGGCCACAGCCGCTTCTTGCCCGCTCTCCCCAGGCACAAAGCTGTGGTCCTTTCCCCCAGGCTGGGATTCGTGGAACTCCTTACTGCCCGGTCACACTCTGATCCTGGAGTTGTGGGCCAACACTGGGAAGCCTGTGGTGGAGACGGGGGACACAGAGGCTCCAGGTTCACCCTGGCAGGGCCCTCATAGGGACGGCCAGGGTGACCTGGTCCCCGCCCGCCCTCAGGTGAGGTGGAGCTGGAGGAGTACTACCCGGCCTTCCTGGATATGGTGCGCAGCCTGCTGGATGGCAGCATCGACCCCACACAGTATGAGGACACGCTGCGTGAGATGTTCACCATCCACGCCTACGTCGGCTTCACCATGGACAAGCTGGTGCAGAGCATCGCGCGCCAGGTGAGTGTCGGGAGGCCCGACACGGGGCACAACACCTCCCCCGTCCCTGCCGGCCCTTCCGTGCTGCAGACCGGCCCCTCCGTCTCTTGTGCTGTGCGGGGAGCCCCATGTCAGCATCTTTCTGTCCTTTTTTTTTTTTTTTAAATCAAGGCAGAATTCATATAACATTAACCATTTTAAAGTGAACAGTCCAGTGGGATTTAGTACGTGTACAGTGCTATACAACCATTGCCTCCGTGTAGTTCCAGAACATTTCTGTCACCCTGAAGAGAGGCCCCGTCCCCATGAGCCCCCCGAGCCCCTGCCCACCACCAGCCTGCTCCCTGTGGGGTTCCTGGCCTGACCTTTCATCCTCGCGGAACCACGCGCTGCGTGGCCTTTCATGTCTGGCTCCTCAGCAAGGTGTTTCCCCGGTTTGTCCGTGCCGAGTTGTGTCGGTGCTTCGCTGCTCTGAACCGCACAGGCCCGTGTGTGGGCGGGCCACATCGTGTCCGTCCATCCGTCCATGGATGGACGCCTGGGCTGCCACTACTTTTTGGCAGTTGTGGATGTTGGTGCTATGAGCGTGGATTTGAGTCCCCGCTGACAAGTCTTTCCTGAGGGTGGTTTGCCAGTGTGTGAAGACTCTGAGGCCACTTCGGGGCTGGCGTGTGGATGGCAGTGATGTCCCCCCGCAGTCAGCGTCATTGATGACAGCAAAACACTGCCCGCAGCCAGACGTCGAGAAGAGGAAACTAGTCATATAAATACAAACAGCAGAGCCCCAGACAGTCGCGTGTGGTTCCGGGACTCGGGTCCTGCTGGTGGTGTTTTCAGCTCCACTTTTACGGCCCACTAGGGCTGTTCCCGTAAAGCGGGAGTGATGCCAAGAAAAGAATAATATTATTCACCCACCCAGTTGGTGGGAACATTCTAGAAAAGCCATTCCCTTCTAGGTTTGAGAAAGGCCTTGATGAGGTAGAGTATGCACACAGAAAAGATTGTGGGCCTTCACACAGGGACAGCCCTCCGCCCCCCCCCACCGTGGGCACCCGTGGGTTGGGGTAGGGTCCCTGCTCTCGAGCTGCTGCCTGTCGGGCCACGTCATGCCGTGTGAGTCTGCAGCATCCCTTTTTCCTGAGATGCGTGTGGCTCCTTCGTCCTGGCCTGTGCAGGGAACAGGCTCACATTTGGGCCCTTGGAGCAGTGCTTCACATCCTCAGGTGCCATCTGTGAGTTCCCTCCGCTCCCCCCGGCCGCTGTGGAGACCTCCGCTGTCCTGGTGGCTGTCCTCCGTCTGGCCTAGAGCTGGGGGTCCGATGTCTTTCTCATCCCTCCCTCCTGGGCCTGGGGAGCAGGGACCCTGAGTGCCATTTATATTACGTTTCCCCCGTGGCTTATGAGGTTGGCGCCTTTCTGTTCTTCTGTGGCCGTCCGGAGGTCCCGCTGTGGCGCGCCCACCCGCATCGTCCGCCACTGTTTTTCACTGACAAGTGCAAGGCTTTGAGTCTTCTAGTTACAAGGACGTGACCAAACTGACATCTCTGTTCTGACTCCTAATGCGTCTGTCTTCAGGAACCTTCCCATTTCCCTCTGCCTGCTGGGCTGTGCTTCTGTCCATCCCTGTCACCATCCACAGTCGTGGCCGCTGTGGCCCAGGGATGGAGAATCACACGCGGGGCCTTGCACACACCTCTGGGAGGCAGTGATTCGGCAGTACCACAGGGCTGAGTGCCGTACCCCCAGGGCTCAGTGTTGAGTCTGCGCCCAACAGGCCACAGCTCTGGGGAGAGCCAGGGTCCGCCAGGCCTTAATGGAAATGCCCTAGGCCAGCTGTGCCTGGGGTCCCGCCCACTGACAGCTGTAGCCTGCCTTGGTGGGATCATGTCCGTGCCATTTGCCTCTCTTTTTTCATTGTTATTATCAGCATTTCCTGTTTTCATAATAGCAGACAGTGTTTTGGGGAACCCGCTGTGGGCCAGACACTGAATGAGGCCCGCACGTCAATGTGTTCAATGGTGTGACGCTCGTGGAAGGACTCAAGGTCCTGAGTCTGGCAGCCTGTCACTTGTGTTGGGGCCAGCCTGCACCGGCTCCGTCCAGCCCTGCACCTCAGCCTTTTCCGTTAGTCCTTTCTTCTTAAGCTTTACAGCTTGGATCTGTCTGTAGGAGTTACAGCACCTCACTGTGTTTGTAGCCGGAAACTGGGGCACATAGCTTCCCTCCCTCCCTCCCAACACTTCCAGATAATGACCAGCCCCATTTTGGAGCGCACACTTTTGTGTTCACTGTGTGTTTCCCAAACCTAAGCAGGGATTGCCGGCCCTTTCTAGTTTGGACTGGTCTGCTCTGCTTTGAACTAGTTTGCTCTTGTCTGCTCTAGTCTGAGCTGGTATAGTTTTTCCTGCTCTGGTCTGCTCTGCACCTTCTGCCGACGTCACTCCCCGTCTGGTCCTGGCCTTCATCTCCACGTGGTGGACTTTTTCGTGTCCTCTTCGGGCGAGGCAGGGACTCCAGCAGGAGGGCTCGGAGCCGCGCTCACCCCTCCTGGGGGCACACACCCCAGGCACACACCGGCTCTTCCTCCCTACCAGCTGCACCACCTCGTGAGCGATGATGTCTGTCTGAAGGTGGTGGAGCTCTACCTGAATGAGAAGAAACGGGGTGCCGCTGGTGGGAATCTGTCCTCCCGCTGCGTCCGCGCCGCCAGGGAGACCAGCTACCAGTGGAAGGCCGAGCGGTGCATGGCTGACGAGAACTGCTTCAAGGTGAGAGGCCAGTCGTGCTCAACCCCATGCGAGACTGGGGTGCAAGGGGCATGCCCAGAACAGGAAGGGGCCGGCGACATGCATCTCCGTGCCCGGGTCTCCAGTTGCCGGCCCTGGCCTCTGAGGGCTCCCCAGGGCCCACGAGGTGGGCGGCTAGCGTGTCGTTCCTAGAAGAAAGATCTAGGCCCAGAGGCTGTCAGAGGGAGCTCATTGATGACCTTTCAACCTTGTTCTGTGTCTGCTTGGGCTGTGCCCGTGGCGTCAGGCTTTGCCCCCCACCTTCCCTAGGTGATGTTCCTCCAGCGCAAAGGGCAGGTGATAATGACCATTGAGCTCCTGGACACTGAGGAAGCCCAGTCGGAGGACCCCGTGGAGGTCCAGGTGAGGACCAGGGCCCTGTGCTCTGTGCCTTGTGCGCACTGTGGGAGCCGGGTGGCCACGGGCACAAGCACAAGCCACACTCTCCATGGGGGCCTCAGAGGGGCTGGAGTTGCAGTCGGCCCTTCAGGAGTCCAGGGTCTGACCCAGCACGGGAGGGCCAGGTCACTCTTCCCTAACCCTGCCTCCTGGCTCCTCCCACTGCAGTGACCGGCATGGTCACTCCCCTGAGCTGTGCAGCCTCTGTACTCCCTGCACGTGGAGCTCGGGACTCCCAGTTCCCGGCCTCAGTCACCAGGAGGACCCCTGCCTGGCCCACGCTCTGAGTCACATGTTCCTCTAGATTAGACACATTCCAGTGTCTCTGCTTTTCTCTCCATACGAGGACACCAGACATTGGATTTTGGGGCCCACCTTACTCTGGTGTGACCTCATCTTAACTAGGTGGCATATGCAAAGACCATTTCCAAACGAGGTCACATTCACAGGTGCCAGGACATAGGACTGAGGCATGTCTTTCTCAGGGACTCAATTCAACCCACAAGAGTGGACAGCTCATCCCAGCTTACCTAGGACATTCCCAGGTCTTATCACCAGAAGTGCCACATCCCAGGAATTGCTCATTCTCAGACAAACCAGGACTGTCGGTCCCCTGACACTTAGCTGCATCAGAACCTCTTCTGGGGTCAGGCAGCCTGTAACCAAATAAGTAAGGACACCAGAAAAGTAGCGTTTCTGTCGCTGCCTTTTTGGCCTTGAGTCACGTAGCCGAGATCTGTGGACCAGCAGCCCTGGTGCGTCGTGCCCGCTCAGGAGCTTCCTGTCGGAGAACCGGGAGGGGGTGGTAACACTTGGTGCCCTCGCACCACCGGGAACAGGGCTGGTGCCCACCCGACGCTCCACACAGCCACAGGGGCTCCTCTCCTTGCCCTGCTCCAGGACTCCCCACACAGGAAACTCTGCTCATGATGAGTGAGGGGGGAGGTTTGCATGCCTTGCACCTTCTGGAAGTTTGCAGCTCATGTCTGGAGGAGCCTGTGGCTTTAACAGGGCGGTGAGCAAATGAAGAGTCATTGGACACTACCAGCCACGCCCACCTTGGACCTGCGTGGCCCCTTCCAGCCCCACCTTTCGTTCACTCCCACCTCTGACTTGTCTTTCCCTCCTTCTACTCTGTGTCCTGGTGTCCCCCTCTAGGCCCCACTTCCCTCCACATGGACTCCCCGCTCCCTTGTGGACCCGCCCATGTGGCGCATGGGCCATTACGCAGTGGGGCTTCTCCAGCTCGGCACGCAGTACCACAACTGGTCTGCTTGTAGCTGGATGTGCGCATCCTGCCCCAGCGGCAGTCGGGCATTCCCATCATACACAGGGTCTTCCACAGCCGGGGTGGGGTGCGGGCATCTTCCCGGGGGGCCCTGAGTGTAGGACCCTGGCTGAGAGCCCTTTATGGGGGAAGTCACAGCCATGTCTCCCTCTGTCCCCCCAGCACCTGGCTCAGTACGTGGAGCAGTATGTGGGGACCGAGGGTGCGTCCAGCTCACCCACTGAAGGCTTCCTCCTGAAGCCCGTGTTCCTGCAGAGGTGAGAGGAGCCGCAGGGAGACCCCATGTCTTTAATTGAGGCTGAAAGATGGTTTTCTGTCTGGGAACACTTACTGGGCGCCTGCTATGTGCAAGGTGTGGCCCTGCACCCCTGAGGTCTGGGATAAGCAGACCTGTAATCCCAGGACAAGGCAGGTAGGAGGGGGCCACCCTGCCTAAGGGAGCAGAGGGCCTGGGAGGAGGGGGTAGCAGCCTGGAGGGAGAAGCCACTGGAAATGGCAGCTGTCAGGCCAGAGGCAAGAGCACCACCATCCTCAGACCCAGGACCAAGGACCAGGCTGGGTCAGATCTGGTCTCAGGCCAGGTTGAGACAGCGGACTTTAGGATCAGTGGGGGCTGTTGGTGGGTGTTTAGATTTGAGTGGGAATCCCTTGCCAAGTGGGGACCAGGCTGAGGGTGGGGTCTCAAGCACACTGATGAGACAGGAAACCAGATCTGGGAGAGTGGAAGCAGGGAGGGGAGATGCTGGATGAGGGGCCCCACTGTTGGAGGGACATAGGAAGCAAGTGAGAAGAGCCAGCAGGGCTGGCCAGGTGGCCCCCAGCCCGGGGTTGCCAGCACCCCTGTGTTGTGTGGGGTTGGTTTTCACTGGATTGAAGGGTTTGTTTTGCTTTGATTTACATCACCCTGTCTCTTGGGGAATCCAGCCAAGGATTTCTTGGTCTACAAACACTCCTCTGACCCCCCAGGAACCTCAAGAAGTTCCGCAGGTGGCAGTGTGAGCAGGTGCGGGCCCTGCGAGGTGAGGCCAAGAGTTCCTGGAAGCGGCTGGTGGGGGTGGAGAGTGCCTGCAATGTGGACTGCCGCTTCAAGCTCAGCTCCCACAAGATGATGTTCATCGTGAACTCCGAGGACTACATGTACCGCCGAGGCACCCTGTGCCGCGCCAAGCAGGTGCCTTGGCCCCTGTGATCCAGTCTGTGGCCATCTAGCGGGGTCCTGGGTCCAGCCCACAGCTGGCTGTGGGCACCTGGGTCTTTTGACTCCACCCCACCCTCTCCCTGCAGGTACAGCCCTTGGTCTTGCTGCGGCACCACCAGCACTTCGAGGAGTGGCACAGCCGCTGGCTGGAGGACAACGTGACTGTGGAGGCAGCCAGCTTGGTGCAGGACTGGCTGATGGGCGAAGAGGATGAGGACATGGTGCCCTGCAAGACAATCTGCGAGACGGCCCATGTGCACGGCCTGCCTGTGACTCGCTACCGTGTGCAGTACAGCCGCCGCCCTGCGTCCCCCTGAGGCACCCGGGCAGCCATCACAACACAGTTCGGTGCGGGTACTTCCTCAGCCCGGGTGTCAGTCGGGCACTTCCGTGAACTACCTGAGGGAAGGAGGGCACCCCCAGCCTTGCCGCTGCTCCAGGGAAGGGGGTTCCGTCGGCTGCAGCCCCACGCTACCGTCCCTCGCAGCTCCCCAGCTTCCTCCTTTGGGCTATTCCTGTGCCAAACCCGAAACCCCTGCACTTGAACTTGAGGCTCAGTCCCCAGCAGAAAGGGGAGGATCCGTGCACTGTCTGATGACAAGCAGGTGTGTTCACACACCTGCCAGGTGGGGCCACACAGGTCATTTTGTGCTTGGGGTGTCTAGGAAAGTCAGTGACAAGCCTTGTGAGGGCACACAGTTGGGAAGAGTTGGCATTGAAGGAATTGGGTCAGGGACTTGCTTGAAAAGTATGTTCTTCGAGTGGTTTTGAAACTTTCTAGAAACTTCTGAAGCTGGGCAGTGCCTGTATCTGACAGTGTGGACATCAGCTGGTGCTCGGGTTCTTCTCATTTTATAAGCAGTATAAGCCCTTTCTGCTAGGCGTGGCGTGGGCAGGGGGCACCAGAAGACCCCACTGTGGAAAACAGACACGCCAAGCCCTGTGTTGATCCAGCAGCCGGCCTCTGGGTCTGTCAGGGACAGGACTCACCCAGACACTCCCACCACGCCCAAGTGGCCCGCATTGGGAGGGCCCCAGGGCAGGATTCTGTACCTAAGATGGAAGTTCTAGAAATAACAGACGCACACCCATATTTATTCCTTTACACCCTCTTAGTGGTTGTCACTTGTTCAACAACCAAGTCCCGAGGCTTCTTGGGGAGTCAGCGTGCTCCTCACACCCCCCCACCACTGCTGTTCCCGCAGCCGCCACCCCGGGGGGCACGTGTGTGGGGGCCGCAGCCGTCCCCACAGAGGCCTCCGAGGCTGTGCCAAGAGCGCTGTGCGCCGTGGGCTCGCACCAGCTCTGCGAACTTCCTGCCCCGGAGGAGCCCTGGCAACATTGTGCCGAGAGTGGAATCTGCTAGCTGGTGGGACCACGGTCCCTGAGCAGCCTGCCCCCCGCCACCCGCAGTGCTCCCCATCCTGTAGCCGAGCTGTGCCAAACCCACCGTACCCGCGGTGGGGACATGTTTCTAAAAGGTACCTGTGGAACTCAAGGTTTGTGAAGCCTTCGACTCTAGGGCCAAAGCCCGCGTGTGCCCCAGGGTCTCCCTGCCAGTGTATTCTCAAGTGTAACCCAGGCACTTTGTCTGAACCCTTGTTTTGTAAGAAGGGAACTTACCACGACTCCCTGGACCAGCCCTTCAGGCCGCCCCTCCACGCCTCAGTGGGGCCTGGGTGTTTGCCAGCTCCCCCACAACCCCTACCCTGCATGCTTCTAGCCAGCCCTTTCGTTTCTCAAGAATTTCTGTTCTGGGCTTAGACTTCCTTTGCAGCTGTTTTGACTGTAGTCCCCTTTTCTATTTATTTGCACATTAATGTTAAAAATTAAATATTGACCTGAAGCTGTGATATCCCATCCATTTTTTCCTGCAAGCAACCCCCAGGGCGCACCCCCCCACACTCCATACCCCACCCAAGCTGTGAGTGCCAGGCACCCGAATAGACACGAGCGGCTCCTGGCACCAGTAGTTACCAGGCCTCGCCTGCAGAGCCCTGCAGCTTCCCTGCACAGAAGGCCACACTTCCCTTGGGGCGGTGCTCTGCCCCTGTACCAGTGCGTGGTCCAGAACACTCATCCCAGTCCAGGTTTTATGTTCATTAGAGATGCCAAGTGTTTCTAGCAGTGTGCATCAAAGCCAGCTTCAGGGCCTGGTGTTGTCTCAGCTTTCTCTGCCTGAGGCCGGGTGCTGAGGAGGGATGTGGGGCCCCAGGGTGGGTGGGCTTGCTCCCTTGGGTCCACAAAACCACCCTCCTACCTCATGCTTCTTCCCCATCGCTGTCCTGATCATCTGGGATCTCCTCCCCCCTCCCCTGCTCCCACTCCTTAAGAATGGGGTTGCCCACACCTCTGCTTCTGCAGAGGCACCTGCTGCCCCCTCCCCTCAGCCCTGCCAGTGCCCACGCCAGGCCTCCCCGTCAGGTTCCTGATCTCAGGTGGCACTGCCCTGCCACCTGGCCAGTCCTCTACCAGGAGTTGAGTGTGACCTCCCAGGGACCCTTCACCCCATGTGTATCCCCCACACACATGTGCTGCCCCTGATGGTGCCCACCTGCCCCTCCAGAGGGTCAGGGGTAGCAGGGAACTTAGAGGCTCGTTCTGTGTTCGATTCCTCCTACCCTGGAGCCCACATCGGGAGTGCTCGGGCTGCCTCTGCCCACGCACCCACCTTCCTCAGTCTGAAGCACTGGGAGGGAGGCCTCGTCGTGCAAACAGTGACCGCTGCAGCTCCCTCTAAGGGCAGAGTGAAAGGGGTCCCCTTGTGGTGGGCAGAGCTCTGATAGGGCCCCAGGGTCCCCCCTCCCCCCGTGGACATCCCCACTAGTCCCTGCCCTCAAGTGCCCTGTGACTGTGGTCAGGTTGCTAGACAGCAACTGGAAAGACGTCTCCTGCTGGCCTGGAAGACAGCAGCTCCACGTCGAGGAGGGGATTCGACCACTGCAGATGAGGGCCTGGCCCTGGGGGGAGACCGGCTTGCTGCCTGGACTCCTCACCCCGGGAAGCACCAGACCTTAAGGCCCATTGTCCCCAGCCACCGTGTCCTTGGCAAGGGATGAGGCCAAGAATCCACACAGCAGCCCTCCCTCCTCATCACCTGGCACCTGCCCCTGTACCTCTTCAGGCGCAGGAAGGGGAGCTGCAGGCCAGGTGGGCTGCCCCCCACCCCAATGTGACAGAGAGGGGCTGTGTGCTGCACCGGGGGTTTGGGGGGGGGGCCAAATAACATTGTTATTAGAGGGGCGTTTGTCTTGCTGGCTGGCTGTGAGATACAGCCAGGACGTCACACCTGATGTCCTGGCTGAGAATGAGGCCGATTGTTCTAGAAGGCAAATGCACCTGGAGTTAGTCTCAGGCGGCTCCTGGTGGGGGTGGGGCCGGCAGGGCTAGGAACGTCCTGGTAGGAGCCCGCAGGCACCTGGGTGTGGGGGGAGGACTCCCGGAGCGAAGGCCTCAGGGATCCCCGCTGTGCCCAGCCGAGGCTCTCCGGCCCTGGGCGTGGGTGCTCCGGCGGTGGGTGCTCCGGCCGTGGTGCAGTCGAGCGGACTCAGACTTGGGGCCTGGGGAGGAAGTGCAGGGCCACCTGGGGTCGGGAGAGCCAGACTTCCAGCCCCAGCACCCGGTAGGATGGGGTCACCACCTCCTCCCCTGGGGTCACTGCAGTGGGGTAGCAGCCCCGCTCACAAGGCAGGGCCCAGCCCAGGGTGAGGGGCGGGGAAGGCACACGGGGTGCCCGTCTGGCACCAACATAAAGCAAGCACAGCACCTGCAAAGACGGCCACCCTGAGAAGCGTTGGGCAGTGGGAGGATCGGCCTCCGGGGCCGCCGGCCGGGCTGGAGGCTGAGGGCGTCCGGCCCTAGTGCCCGAGTCGGGCCTGTCGGCCGTCTCTTCATCGTTTAAGAAGTTTTACATTTTGGTAAATAAGATTTACCACATTGACCATTTTATTTTAATATTCACCTGAAAATATGTTTTTATTGATTTTAGAGAGCCAGAAAGAGAGAGAAATATTGATGACAACCCTGAGTTGCCTCCCATAGATGCCCTCGCCTGGGATTGAACCCAGAAACCTAGGTGTGTGCCCCTACAGGGGATCGACCCCCCAACCTTTTTGGTGTACAGGACAACAGTCCAACCAAGTGAACCATCCAGACGTTTTGTTTTTTCTGTACAGTGGCTCTGGCAGCGCTCAGTTGTCTTGAACTCCATTCATTCAAAACCACTGTGTTGGAGTGTGTGTTGTGGCAGCTGTCATATCAGCGTGCATTTAAAAAAAAAACACCAGCCCTGACTGGTGTAGCTCAGTGGATTGAGCTCGGGCCTATGAAGCAAAGGGTTGCCGGTTCGATTCCCAGTCAGGGCGCGTGCCTGGGTTGCAGGCCAGGTCCCCAGTGGGGGACACATGAGAGGCAACCACACATTGATGTTTCTCTCCCTCTCTTTCTCCTTCCTGTCCCCTCTCTCTAAAAATAAATAAATATATTTTTTTAAAAAAACACCAAAATGGGTGAACTTTTGTGCAGCCATTTTAATAGTGAAGATGGAAGAATATAAGTGACATTTTCAACATATTATGCTTTAGTATTTCAAGAAAGGTAAAAACGTAACTGAAACACAAGAAAATGCAACTGCGCAGCATATGGGGAAGGTGCTGTGACTGATCGAACAACAACAAAAGTTTGCAAAGTTTCCGCCTGGAGACTTCTCGCCGGACGGTGCTCCACGGCCGCGGAGGCCAGGTGAAGTTAATTGGGACCAAATTGAGACATTAATTACGAACAATCAACATTCTACCACGTGGGATATAGCTGACATCCTCAACATATCCAAATCCAGAAAGTTATCGATGAAAATGAAAAACCTCCTCTCTCTATGGACCGGACTCTGTTGGGACTGCATGTAAGTGGGTCGCATGGTATTTGTCCTTTTGTGTCTGGCTGATTTCATTCAAGGTCCGTCGATGTGGCATGTGCAGAATTTCCTTCCACTTTGAAGAGACCTTCCTGCTTTTTTTCAAACACAAGTTTTTATGGAAAGCAGCACATGTATTGTACAAAGAAGCACGTGGGGAAAAGCAGAGGCCTAAGTCCCTCTGTGCAAAGGCAGCTGCCCCAGGGTCCCAGGGGAGGTTAGCACCAGGCTGGGACAGGATGGCAGCCTGTCATTCACCCCAAATTCACCCGACCTCTGCCTGTCCCGTCCGGGGGCCCCCCCGTCTCCTGGCCCAGTGTCGTCTCCAGGGAGGGGGCACCCCGGCCCTGTATTGTGGGTGACACCCCTGTGCAGATGCGCTCCTTTGCGGGAGTGTCCACTGTAAATTCCTAGACACAGAACTCCTGGGTCAAACTGCCCTCCAGGGGCACCAATCTGCCCTGGTCCGGCATCACCAGCCGCCAGCTTTTCCTGCACAGGCTTCCTGCAGGGTGGC